GGGGTTTTACGCTTCTAAGCCCTAAATAACTACAACAACCACATGAACTCTTTGCTTCAATGGCATAATACAAAAGCGTTTTTTGATGCGTTGTTCACTGGAGATGGAAAATGGGTCCTCTATGATTATCCAAAACTTAAATGACTGTGGCTCTCTCCAAATGAATCGCCATGAAGTTCTGCAAAGCTTGGTTTACACCCCCAAAAGACCCTTATGTGTGTTTAGTGGAGTATTCGCGGCATTGTTCATTTTAAAGTGCAGAAACCTGGATAAACTGTGAATGCAGGCCTTTACCATGAATATTTGGATCGTGTAAATCAATCATTAACCCAAATGTGGCTACTGATCGTCAACCGAAATGAGGTTATTCTGCAACAGGAAAATGAACCCTGGAAAAAATTAATGAATTGTGGTGGGAGGTACTTCCTCACCCACCATAGTCCCCGAATGTTGCACCATCTATTTCCATTTATTCTACTGCAACACATTCTACACACACAGTACATTGTTTAAAGTACTCTCTGAGGACTCTGTTTTGTCTAATTTTCTTCAAGAAGTTCTAAGCTTTTTTCTGGTAGCTATTCAATAAGTCTTCTATCATTATACCCTTTCCCTTCAAAATTTGAATCCTGCAGACCCACCAATGGTTTCTTTTCCTTCGGTGCAAATTTATTTAATTTAAACCAAATATTTGTATTACGTAATGGTGATTTTGAATAATAACTAACTAGGTGAATGAATAATATTGAATTTTCACTTTATTTGTAGGCAAGATTTTCGTGCTTATTTTAAGTAATTTTATAACATTAGGTTGGCAGGAAATGAATATAATTGAATTGATTTGGATAGTTAACTCCTGATGGATATTTCAACATGTTTCTACCTTGCATATACATGCATTCATTTATTCAAGATATACTTTTATAAAAATGACTTCTATTTTATTTATAATTATTGTGGTTTACATTTTATTTGTATAACACCCCTATACTTTGGTTTTAAAGCCATTAGTGTTTTTCCAGCTCCATGAAGTTTAAAACTTTTGTAATAAGGGTTACCAGATTTGATTAACGTGTTTCTAATGTTCAAGAGAGCAGGACAAGAATCCTGGTATAGTCCTTTAATTTCATCATTACTATAAAGAGGTCAAATCCAGTTTCCTAATAGACTTATTCAATGTATGATAGGTATTTTTGGATAATTGTGGCAGTTCAGCGGGGAACTGATTCAGCTCTTGGTAGATTTTCAGTAATGCACTCATTTTCATTGATCATGCACTGGTTTCCCTAATCTTTCTTAGCAAATTCTTGCTAACGTTAGTGAAGGAAGGTTTCTTATCCAAACTGGTAACTGTAATAAACTCAATAATTTTAAAATTGTATTTATTATAATATATTACACCTACAATGTAAAAACTGGTAAGTATAACATTACATAGTTAGTTTTACATTTCTAGACACCATGATACCTAGTTTTATTTTTAAAATAAATTAATAGCATAATATACAATAGAATATAAAGTTCAAATCTAGGACACAAATACTGGTACATTTAGTAAAATTCAAAGGCAAGTAACGGGCATTTCTAGACATTAATTTAGTAAGATATGTTGGGAAAAGAGGATCATAGAGAAATACTATATAGCATCTACATATTGCTACAGACACGTATTTAGCGCACTAGAAGCACTGAAAATGGTTTTTGTTAGTATGTACGAAAAAACAAAAAACAATTTAAAAAATTTGTCTATACAACCGATATCTATAATCTGTGGGAATAAAAATCTTCACACATATTTATAATTAAATTTATAATACTGATTTATAAATATTTTTTTGACAATTACTCTAACACACTTTACAATAGTATTCAATGTTTATCATCAAAAAACACAATAATAAAAAAAATTAATACATAATTTATAATTAATTAGATACAGACATTTACAAATATATTAATTACTATTTAAAGTGAATGTTAGGGAAAAAAAAATTAAAAATGTGATGTATTTACATTTAAATTTTTGATTGAATTGCTAGTTTTGGTACTAATTTTGTGATCTAAATACTGAAACAACCAAACAATATCTCAAGATTTGCTATCTGTTAAAATCAAAATGCAATTCGCTATTTTTTTCTCTAAAGAAAATTCTAATTTATATATCCTTACTAAATAATAGGCGCTATTCAGTGCACAGTAATTATCATCAACATTTTTATTTATTTTAGTATTACATTTTCAAATAAAGAATACATTTTTTACAATGTTGAGAGATTAGAAATAAAATAAAAGCGTAAATAGTTAATATCCTTAGAAACTATTATATAAGCTGATCATGTATATAGACTTAGCTATATTAAAAAAGTAAATAAATTTATGTTTGAAATAAAAAAAACAATGATGATTAAAAAAAATAAAGAATAAGATATTTTTTATGGAAAATTACAGTGCGGTTGAATAAATGAACTTTCTTTTGTTACATTATTCTTAAATATAGTAACCATGGTTCAAGAAAGAGTACATTTTAGTTCGTTAATAATCTAGTTAATTTCATGAATAATTTTATTATTGGCTGTATGAAAATATTAGACAATGTAGAAAGAAATTCATAAACTTATGTAGTTTTGAATATACCCACTGTCAGAATATAATAAAATCTTGTTCTGATGAAACTTGTTTGAATTGAACTCAGTTAATTGTTTTGAAACACCATAGGGATATTAATTATAAGTTGATTACAAATTGAAATGAATAATAAAGTTTGGCCACTAATGTAATTTTTTTTTCTATTACTCCTATAAAACTCAGTCTATGGAGCAATTATTAATCTGCTTGTTATGCAATAGTTTGATGAAATCAATAGTGAATGCCAGTTTTAGAATTAATTTTTATTTTTTCACGATTTCTTACAATGGTTACTTACATAATTTAAAATATGGTTCAAGTATGATATTTCTCTAGATAATTGATGAAGGAAAAGACCTTGTTTATTTAGACTTTTTTTATAATTTCATTTTTTGCAACTATTGGTATATTTTAAAATATGCTTGTTTTCTTTAAGTTATAAAAAATATTTTATAAGGTACAACATAAACTATGAACAATTGTTAGATTATTTTGAAGTTGTTAGATAGAGTATATAATGACGAAAAGGTAGTGATTTTTATAGTCTAATAGGATCATGTTTGAAAAGGACATATGATGAAATTCAATAAAGATATATACTTTATGAGGTTCACTATGGTGGCTATAAAAAAATAACTTAAAATAGTGGAAACTATGTTCATCAGGGCTAGAATGAACAAGATATATATTTTACTTTACTAATTCAATGATCTACTCTTTATATTTTAACATTGAATAAAAGATCATCTGACAGACATTACATTGTAGGCTTCATCGTGAGAACCACTTACTAGGTGACAATACCTCTGTAATTTGGAATATTTCCACTGACAGAGGGCTACACATAAATCAAATTATTCTTTGAAATTCATCTTGGCATAGATAGTAAGATAATCTGTTGATTTTGAATTAACTTGATAGCAAATATTGAAAATCTAAATAGTTGATGTACTTTACCCATATTGAGGTATACATGCTTGTATAAAATACATCATTAGAGATAAGTTTAAAAATACAAATTCATTTTTATTTTTAAATAGTGATTGATAATTACTATGATCAAAATATAGCAAATCATTTACTGTTTTTAAACAGAATTTATTATTAATTTATCAAAATATATGTGTAATAATAACTATAATGTCACAATTGCGCAAATCTTAATAATTAATTGTAAGAGAGAGAACTACTTAATTTTATATTGTGATCTATTATAAAAAATAAGATATGGTAAAAGAAACATACTTTTGGTAAACTAAATTAATATTTTGTGCACTTATATTTCTATTTTATCTGGTAAATATATACAAAAATTCACAAGTACACATGTTTTCTAGGATATAATAACAGTAAGTAAAGGTTCAGTACGAAAAAAAAAAATTAAAATTAAAAAATACATCCCTCACAAAACACTCAATCCTTAATTACAGTAATAATAATAATAATGATAAATTTATTCATAAATACTATTCTTTACAAGGTAATTAAAAACATAGAAAAATACTAAAATAATTGTTCAAAAAGCGTATGCATTTCTGTTATAAACAGAAAATCAAAGTTAATATGTAACACCTATATACAAAATTATATTACAATTAGTACCTGATGGAATAATATATATGAACAAGAATGAAACCAAAATTAATCAGAAAATTTTAAATAAATTTACGAAGGACTTTGTAAAATGTGATGACTAATTCAATGTAACACACCTAATATACATGTATATATATATATTTATATTTATATATCCATTTATATATTTGCATATATTAAAAAAAGAAAAAATTGTGTAAACATTAAATGTGGAATCTGACACATAAGTATCATTGATCACAATGTCTCCATGTGAGTCAAAGGAATACCAGACAGCACATCATAAATGGTGTCTTTGGAAGCACAACTGGTTCTGCAGAAGTTCTTAACATAATTTGGTTAGTTGACTAGATGAACTGGGTTGAATTAACAATAATAGATTTTATTGGATATAAAAAACTACTTTGCTTCAAAATTTCTTATTTGTTAAAATATTTAAAGGAATAAATATTTAAAAGATCTCAGTTGCATATATTTACATTATTTATCTAATATATGGTAATAACTCGTACCAATTGTACAAATAGATAAAAAATTGTAAGCTAGACATTTAAAAATACAGACAATGACAAAGTTCACTAATTTGCTCCAGATTTATGAAGAGAAAAATGAACGGTTGAGTTGAAAAGAAAAAAAGAAAAAAAATGAATTTATTATGATTGGATTTGATATGCACTCTGACATATCTGCAGAACCGCCGACTCCCAAGATTGATATTAATCAGCCTCTCAGGTTCCCTTGCCCCGAGGGACAGGGTCACTATTCTTGTTGTATCCAATTTAGTTACATTGCTTCGATCTTCGCTGGAACCTTCTCATGCGGTTATGCCATTCTTCTTTCCATTCAATGACGATTGACCTTTGTGTGATTGTCAACCCTGGTCGGTCCCCATCCTTTTCTTTTCCAAGGATCAGGTAAGACCTATAATAATGAACATATGATTTAGTTAATAATTATCACTTTTACATGAATAACAATTTTTTCTAAATAAATTAAGCTAATTAATAGTTTTCTTTGAAAAATTTACTTTTATGAACAAATGGACAGTTACTATAAAAATGAATAATTCCTAAATTTTTACTCAAAGGTACTGAAATATTTATAAAAAGATACTTTTTGTAGTAGTCCGTGAAGAAAGTTAAAACAGGACAAAAATTAAAGTGATGTCATTTCATCTTTTGGTGTGCTGGTAAGCAAGGTCTGTTATCCATTGAATATTTCAAAATTGTTTTCATATCAGATTATATTGAAGCAGATCAGAGAGAAAAAGATGTCCTGTGGACTGTGCGAAAAAGATGTCCTGTGTGCCCTTAAAATGTCCTGTGGAATACTGTTAATACTGTTCTGTGTAATATAATATGAGAAAGTTAGTAAGATCTGTATCTGTCTAACTCTTCGCTATTTATTAGATGCAACCATGTTTGCAGTAATAATTAATTAGTTAATTATTAACTACAAAAGTTAACACCATAAAAATCTGTTAGTTATTATTATTAGTATACTAAAGAAAAACTTTAGCTCCAGCCATAATAATTGTTAGAGAGACTAAAAGATTAAAGTATCCACGAGCCTCTGAAATCATACTTATACTACTAAATTAGATCGTAATAATCAATACATATTATGCTGTCAATTTGGATCTACAAAATTGTATTGTATATTAATATTGTACTTTATAAAGCAACAGAAACTAGTAAATTTTGCTAGCCAAACCTATCAAGTTTCATGTATAACAAGCAAGGAAGCAAGTCATGACTTACTTGTAGTGTCCATTTTAAAAATTCTTTTCACTTTGATTTTTTATTTTATTTTTAAAAATTACAATTTTAAAAAGGTGAAAATAAAGCCAAAATACTGTCTTCAACTTTAATAATTTTAAAATATCTAAATTTAATCCATCTTTAATAATATTTTATAAATACTACCGTACTGTACCAGGTATCAATATAACTAGATATTAGGGTGAGGTAATTTTTATGTGGTATTCTTACTTGTTGCTTCTGATTTTGGGGCATTTACAAGCAAGGTCTCCAGAGTGGACCCAAAGTGATAGGCCACCTCGACGAAGTCCAGAGTCCCTTCCTCTCTTGTAAACATTTTGAACTGCCATATTGAACCTAGCCCAATCTTCTATTATCTCTCGTTCCAGAACTTTAGCCAGGACAGCTGCAAATGTTAAATAGATTTATCAAAATATAGATTTTAGAATTTTTAAATATAAATCAACACATTATTAGGTCCTCAATTAAATATGTACTTTATGTTTCTTACAGCTGAAAGTAGATATAACCGTACCAAATTAAATTTTATTCTTACGGTATATCCATATACTACAATATAAACACAGATTTGAATCGAAAGGTATCGGTATCAGAAATTAGTATCGAAATCCCGAAAAAAACTCTCACCAACAGTGACTAGTATAGATTACTGTAATTTTGGCAAGGGAAGCTCTGTTCATGTTGAGCTAAATGTTACTTCTTCTTGGACAGAAACCATCAAGGAACAGTCAGTAGTATATCTGTTTACTGTGATACAGATTTCATCATAAATTAAAATGATTCTCCTCCTTTTGGCATTTCCGGGTATAATGTGAATATTTTCAGAACGTTTCCTGGCTAATTCATCTGCTAATTGATAAATGATGGCCTAGATTTCAAATTCATAATTCTGTAAGGTGTCTGAAAACAATATGGCCCGATATACCATTCATAAATTATTACTAAACTTAGTTTAATTTTTTTATTCCCACTACTGATATCTTTACCAGCTTCACATTTGAGCACTTGTTCAGACTAATTAATTATGAAGAGTTATCAGTGTTAAGGTCATTTTATCATAGTTTTGTATCTATAGTGAGTGAATTTATTCCACGTTATTGTGAAGCGAAAATTGTAATTGCATCTCTTAAATAAATAAATAAATTAATTGCTTCCCATAAGGATTATATTTTAAAATAATAATTTAAATTGTAAGCCATTTATAACAATATTCAATAAATTGTTAGATTTTGTTGTTTTTAAATCAAAAATGCCTGAAAAACGTAATATTAATATTATTTTATTAAACAGAAATACATTTCACATTACACATTACCATCCATGGGGGAGGGGGGGGGACGCCCTCTGACTGAATTCCCTAGTGCTGGTCACGATAATAATTTTTTTTTAATATTAAATTCATCGTCTATGAGGATGAATTTTCCCTCTTTTTCTGTTTTCTTTAAATAGCTCCTTTTTAGATTTTTCTTTCTAGCTTATAGAAAGAAGGGCGCGCACCCCCCTCCCTGAATCCGCTGGTGCTTCTGGGCATCCATGTGATTCACATTATGCGCAAAATGCAAATGACAAAATTTAACATTATATGAAAAATAATAAATTTTTAATGTTTATAAAAATACCATAATCTCGTTTGCAGTATTTATTCATGTTCAGCCGCCTGGTTCCAGCTCTGCACTTTCCACATTGACCTAAAACAAATTAGCTGTTAGTAAATGATGAATTTCAATTTCCTTTATTTCTGTTTATTAGTCCAAATAAAATACTGAAAGATCATTCAAAGATGTGTTAACACTATGAGCAGTAAAAATATGATATATCTATGGAAGATATTTTAATTATAATAAAAAATAACGGCTGATTTATTGAGTATAGAAATTAATATGCTAACCAAATAATAGGATGTATAAAAAAAAAATGACCGTTTTACAAACAAATATTTGTGTTATTATTTTCTTCTTTGATATGAAATACAATTAATACTCAGTGTTATCAATTGTTATCTACCATAATTAGCCAATTGCTCGATCCCACGCTGATAGCATTCTTTGGGATGGCTTTCAAAGAACTCTTGGACCGCAATTTCAACTTCCGCAAAATTATCAATTTTTTTCCCTTGAAGAAAATGGGCCATGGATCTAAATAAGTAGTAATCCGATGGTGCGAGGTCTGGACTATATGGTGGATGAGGCAGGAGTTCGAATCCGTGAAGATATTTAAACTACTCTTTGGTTCGACGGGAAGTGTGAGGACGAACATTATCTTGTTGGAATCAGATTCCTTTTCGGTTGATCAAAGGAGGATAAATCTCTGACAACTTTGCGTACATCATTCCAGTTGCTCGCAGTAGAATTCAGAATTCAGAGAGCAGCCGCCAGGAACGAATTCGTGATAAATAACACCTTCAAAGTTAAAAAAAAACGCAAAGCTTGGATTTTTTTTTTCAAATTGCTCCCTTGTAGCAACCATTGTTCACAGGTATTCCGATTTCGCCAGTAAACCCACTTTTCATCATAGGTGACAATTTTCCGGTAAAATCTCATATCAGAAATGATTTTCAATAAATATTCACATATTTCTAACCACTTAGCTGATTGCTGACGAGTAAGTTCGTGAGAGACCAGTCTACTGCCCATTGACACCTTCTCCATAGAGAGTAGATGGCGACTAACAGTATCTTTCGACACACCACACTCCCTGGCAATTTCGCGAATACTTATGGACGAATTTAACTCAACAGCTTCCTGCAGAACCTCATCAATATCCCTTAACGGTCGCCCCGGGCCTTTCTTCCTTTCCAACGTCGTACCTCCACTGTTAAATTTTTCAAACCAACACCGCGCAGTGTACTGGTCAAGGACTCTTTCCCCTTCATATGTAATAATTTCAGGCGTTGTTTCAGCAGTTGTGAAATTTTTTTTTCAATAACTCCTTAAAATTACGAGAATTTCGTAGAACACTGCCATGTTTCTTCTTTGAAGCAAATGACTAAACTGAGGCTTTTTTTGAAGAAGTCGAATGGGATAAAACAAACTTAGAGAATGCTCTAAAGCGATTATTAAGTATTGGTAAGTATTAAATAGGATTAAAATATTTACAGTTGTTTGAAATCTGGAATTTGATAAAAGTCATTTTTTTGTACACCCTATTACATAGCCTTATAATAATGAGGATGGGACAAAGATAAAATATAGAAATATCATTTTCACTGTCGAATTTTTAGAAATTTGTCACTGCGTTCAGCTATCAAACTGTTTTCATAAAACGTTTTCAAAATATACTATTAGGGAAAAAGTGTACCAAAGGGATGCTCATAATGTAAATCATAAATCGCTGGGTAGAATATAAGGGCAGATAAATGATAAATATTTTTATAAATATATATATATATATTTTCCCTTTTTGATTTACACAAAGCTATATTAATTATTTGATTTTTTAAAGTGGATCTGTCCCCTTTTTATTTATTTAAATTGTTTTCGTTTTTTCTTTCGAGTATGTTGAATAAGGATAACTAGGTGGAGTTCATAGCAAGAAAACTAATATTTAATGTAGGTTTGGAAGGAAGCAGAAATTTTGTAGATCCTGCTGTGATCCTGTTCGGGCCGAAAAGTTTAAGATCTGCGTGATCTGAAGCAGTTATGTAGTTTCTCTAATAAAGCCAGGTTAGGGGCCTATCGGAAATCATTTTTCCTATGATTAGTTACATAACATATGAACGGATATGTGATTGAACTCGTATAGGATTATAGGCCCTTTAGTTATTGAGAATACATTTTGAAACAAATATAAACTTAGTTTGCGGAAGAGAAGGGAAGTCCGTATGATCAATATTATTTATTTACTTGATGTATTAATACTAATACATTTGTAAATATCATAATAAAAGTTAAAAAAAAAAATTATTTATGTTATAACTTCCTAGGTTGATATCCTTTGTTTCGTCATTTTAAGCTCTTACATGAAATATTTATTCACTAGTTGGGCCGAATGAATAATTTGTATAGTATATTGGCCAATGGACAATTGACTATAGAATATAGAAATAAGTTAACGCAATTTATTAAGTTAGAAGAAATAATTTTCTTTTTCTCAGTGAAATCACATCAGTTCATTCATAGTAATAGACCAAAACATGTGTACATTGCTATAGGCTGCATCTTTGCATATATTGGTTCGATTGTAATAATCTTTTTTTTTTTTGTTGTGAATAAATAATCTTTTAAATAATTATGGGCCTGAGGAAAAAAAAAAAATTATACTTTTAGAGCTATTTGCAAATAAAATTTCTTTCCTTCACAACGTTTTTCTTAAAATTTCGGAAAAAAACAATCAAAAGAATCGGACCATTATTAGCTAAGATACAGCTTATTGCAATTTGTAAATATGTTTAAAACATGAGTTTTTTGATTTTTTCTAACCCCCCAAAATGTTTATTTAATCAATTTACATATATAGTATACATAACAATACAATATATATACCAGTAACAAATTCCTCCCACTGCTGAGGGCATTTTAAGGAATGGGGATAGCTAAGGGTAACATATGTGGCAGAAGTCCTTGTGACTTTCATTAAACGGGGAGGGACCGTTCTGCTAATTATGTTTAAAACATGATTTTTTTTTTTTTTTTTTTTTTTTTTTTTTTTCTTACCCTCCAAAAAGTTTATTGAAACAATTACATATATAGTATACAATAATACAATATAAACATGTAATAAATTCCTTCCACTGCCCGAGGGCATTTTAAGGATTGGGGATAGCTAAAGGTTACATATGTGGCAGGTTTAAAACATGAATGTAGTTGTTTTAAATATTTTTCTTTTCCTTGGTTGTTTGCAATTATCGAGAATATAAGAAACGAGGGGGCGGGGTGGCCGAATGGGCTAAAGCGTGTGCACAGCACCGCGAGTTGCCTGGCAACCGGATAACAGATTTGAGAAGATTTAAAAAGTACGAGTTCGCGTCCCGGTGCCGGAGGGGATTTTAAATTCCCCGCCCTCAACCCCCGGCCCGGGAAAATCCCGTATAGCCTAAAAGGCGAGGTAGGGAAGAACAAAAAAAAAAAAAGATAGGAAACGATTCCTCTATGTTATCATGATACGTTGCTTTATTTCATTTCCTTATTATTTTGTCATTAGTTCACAGACAAATAATTTATCTGAATTATTTGTCCGGGTCAGCTAGTAAATAATTATTTAAAAATGTACACAAAATAAAAATGTCTTTGTAAGAAATACAAACATTAAGATAGTATGATATCTACAATGCATTTCTTTGATCAATGCTACATAATTTGCAGTAAATGATAATCTGAAAAATTACGTTGATTGACGTTAATAATTGTCCGATTTATTTTTGTTTTGTAGATAATTCAGAAATATTTGTAATTATGATGGGTGGTACAATAAAAAAAAAAAATGCACACTTTTTGAGTTATTCGCAAATAAAGTTTCTTTTTCTTCATAATTTTTTTTTCCGAAAATTTCGGGAGGATATGACTATTTTTCGAATGTGAAGGAGAAGAATATCTTCAAAATAAGTGGCCCATCATTGGATTTGATAAAGAATTGGCGAAGTTATGGCGTACCGAAAAAAAAAAATACCTTTTAGAAATAATATATAAGATGGTTATATTTTACCATTTTTAGGGGGCTTCAGTCAGAAAGCCATCTCTCTCTCCCGTAGCCTTTGCTCAATGGTAAGAAGCAAAATAATTCAGTGAACGAGTAGAGGTAAGGGCCGAAGTCAGCTAACGGAAGTAGTTAAACCTTACAAAGAACTACTCCAATTTGTAGAGCTCATTGGCTGGTTTTATAGACGAGCATGGCCCAATCAGGGCAGGCAACTGCTTTAATGACTTGACAATCAGCGGTGGCTTGTTGGAGCATTGTCGGGATCCCTTCGGTAGCGGGGAGCGACCGCTTCAAAGGTGAGCTATACTGGAGGTCTTAGATCGGGAGTGAATGGCCATTGAGGTCCGCAGGCATTCACAGCAAGGCATTTTGTTTCAACAGTTTTCAAATCGTATAAACATGATACTATTCAGAAAAAAAGAGTTTAATTTCACTTTATTTTCTTTAATTACAGTTCAAAAATATAATATGTAGAAGGCATTTTATAGCCTTAGATTGTTAATTCGTTTTTATAATTACGAATCATATAAAAATTATGGTAGTAAGGATTAGATTTACGGGCACCTTTCCAAATCAACTTTGTAAAAAGTTTAATCTCAAGAAGGAGCTGAGAGTATCCTGAAAATGAAGGCAATTCGTTGCAGAAGATCCATGTTATAAATTAATAGGCTGAATAAAAAAAAAAAACACCACACTCCCTGGCAAGTTCACGAGAACTTATGAACGGATTTGACCCAACAGCTTCCTGCAGAACCTCATCAATATCTATTAACGGTCGCCCCGGGCCCTTCTTCCTTTCCAACGTCGTACCTCCCTCCACTGCCAAATTTTTCAAACCAACACCGCGCAGTGTACTGGTCAAGGACACATTTCCCTTCATATTTAATAATATCAGGAGTTGCTTCAGCAGGCTATGAACATTTTTTTCCAAAAACGCCTTAAAATTACGATAATTTCATAGGACTACCGTGTTTCTTCTTTGAAGCAAATAACTAAACTAAGGCTTTTTTTTTTTATTGAAGAAGTCTTATGGAATTAAACGAGGTTAGATAATGCTCTAAAGGGATTATTAAGTATTAGTAAATATTAAATAGGATTAGTATATTTACAGTCCTTTGAAATCTTGAATTTGATAAAACGGTCAATTTTTTTTGTATACTCTATTATAAGAAAGAGACTATTAGATAGCCTGTTTTAACCTCTTGTAAATTAAAAAAAATTAAATTAGGCGATGTTAGAATTTATAAAACGATTTATTAATAAAATAAATTTTTTTTTAAACTTCTTTATTGAAATATTAAAATCTGTCACATTCAAGGACAATAGTAATAGTGATGTAGAGTAGCTCATTCATACCATACAATAAATAAAAATACGGCAAAACGGCAATATAATAATACTGAAGTAAATGATAAAATAAATAAAAAAACAAAAACAAAATACTAAGGATTATAGCTGATAATAATTGAAGAGATTTAACATTAAATGATGTTTAATCTAACCTAATAAAGCTTCTAGAGAGTTACTACAAGTACCAACAATTGGTCAAAAAATACTTCCTCAATCACTGACACAAAATTTATTAGTTTAAAAAAATCATAAAAAGTGTTACATACCTCCTATGCCCAATCATCCCTTCATTACTAAAAAAAAAATCAATCTTAAAAGTAGTGTCGGACTTTTTGGTGACAGAAGAAGGCTAGGTACTTGGTTCGTGACTTGGGAGAGCCCCTTCAATAATGTGATTCAATTAATGTCGATTTGAGATTGAGAAGATTTTAGAAGTGTTTACTCAAACACTCTTACATATTTATACATGTTCTTTCTATAGAAAATTTAGTGCGTAAAATCAGAATTTGACCTGAGTTCGTTGATAATAGATCCCATTTTAACCAGCCAATGCGCGACTGGAACCTTAGCCATCTTTTTTTTTTAGCCTGTTAATCCGATGAATAGACAATTTAAAGGGAAATATTAAAATAATTGTGGCATAATACTGTTTTACAGCGTATTTCAAAGATATGAAAACATTTTATAATTGAAACGTGGACCTTTCTATTTACATATATATATATATATAATGTCCACACTATTATAGCTATGTATATATATATATACATAGCTATAATAGTGTCCCTGGCCTGATCGAAGCTCTATTGTTTAAAACTTTAGCTTTGAAGAGTATATACATATATATATATATATATATATATATATATATATATATATATATATATATATATAACAATATATATATATATATCTATATTGTTGTCCGTTTTTCCTACCGGATCGTTATTACGAAGGTTACTATGTGACCGGTTAGCAGGGGATTCTACTGTAATTATGTATAACATATAATAATGTATATATGTAGTGTATTGTAAAATGCCAGTAAGTAAAATTTTGCAGGAGCTCAGTTTTTAAGTATATGTAGGTGTGTATTCCTATCATAAGCAATAAAAAAAACTCGTTCATAAAAATAACACAAATCTGCACGTCAAAAATAGCTACACTGGTTACATAATTTTGATTTCACTAATTCATCAAATTACTTAGGAGCTTCATTTCATAAAATGTTACTTATTGATTTCTCGAAATAATCCATTATTGAACCATTAATGTATGAAAACCTCGAGTAAAAGTAATAGAAGTTCAAAGGTGGTATCAAAATCCGTAGACAAGTGTGGAAATAGTTTATACGCAGAAAGGATATGTATAAAACGAATCCTTGATAGTTAAAATAACATATCAGGAGGGTTTGAAGGATAAATAAAGCTCTGAAAATAAGGATGGCCTAAATCGTTCAAAACTCTAAATATAGTGACTTCCACCTCAACAAGGATGGATTATAGTAATTTGGATTGGGGAGGGGAGAGAACTTTATCTCTCTAGGCTTTATTTGGTAAACCACAATCGAAATGAAACTTACTTGGGTAATTATCGGCAATTACGATCTTAAGACCAAGATGGCCAATGTTTATCTAACTCGGCCTTGTTTATCGTCTGACAAAGACAAAAAGAACTTCCAAGAACTTGATGGAAGGAAAGTGAAGAAGAAGAAACTTTGATGGGACATAACCAAAACTGGAGCCAAGATGTTTACAGTTCAGAGCCAGGCAGAGGTGCTGACACACTATTGGGTCTTGGCCAAAACCTTATCTCTTCCTTAGAAACCCAACCATTGTGTCAAACTCTTATATACAATTGTCCTATTCAAAGAATTTGTAACTTTTTGTCTTCGAGCGTTCGTTCTAGAAATTCGGCTTAAAAATAGAAATAATTTGTATGAACGACGTAAATTTTATTAGAGTTATAATTGGAATTCATTGGTTTAGTTTTTTTTTAGAATTCGATGATAATTCTTTATTGGTAGGTTTTATATTTTTATTTTATTTTTTTTTAATCATGAATGTTATAGTTCCACAAATAAGATCTAAACCTAGGTCTCACTTTAAGCCATCTTAGTATTCAGCCTTTTTCCAGCTCCCAGAAGCGATGATTTGTATGAATGAATTATCAGACGGAAGAAAATTTCATGGAGAAGTGACGAATCCCAATTTCAGTCCTTGATTTTTACAAAAGCTCTAAAAAAAGTCGTTGAAAAAATTGAGAATTTTAAAACTCATATGGCTTCGAAAGTAGAAAGATAGAGATGGAATAAATTTTATTTTAAAGATTTCGAAGCAGACATCAAGAAGAACGCGGTGGATTCCTCCTCCCCCCCCCGGAAGGTGAAAAATACGGGCAGCGCGGATTACCCTGGTGGACGGTCACCCATCCAATTGCTAACCACGCTCGGAGTTGCTTAACTTTGATAACATATTGCAAGAGCCTTTGTCCGCATGTCTACCCCAGACCCATATATATATATATATATATATTATATATATATATATATATAATATATATATATATATATATATATATTCCATCACTTTAGAGTATGGAATTCTCCTGTGTGTCTCCCCCATCAGAAAATTTCTGGATCTGCTTAACTATTAAACTGGAGGGATATTTTCCAGGGGAAAATTTAATAATTTATTAAGTAAACAGTTATTTAAGTAATGGTGAGGTATGAAGCTTTACCAGTTGTGTGTGTTGAATAGGGTACATCGATAATATTATATTGAATATATATATATGAATTAACACGTTTCGTTAAATAAAGCGAAAGGATTGATCGTGAGGTAACACGTTCGCACGGAGGTATCCAAGTCAATCATATTTTAGTAGATCTATAACTTAAACGAATACCAAAAGTGTTCTAATATAGGCACCGGCCCCTAAAAATATAGTTGCCATTCACTCAATATTACTTAATATAATTCACAAAATTACTTAATGTAATTCCAATAAATCATAGAATTATCAATATTATATTTCAGGTAATAAATTGATAAATGGGATGTTCTATGTATGTCGTTCTAGCCTTGTACTCTTTCTCCCAATAGTTCAAACAATTGTTACATAAATCTGGATCATTTGAACGATGGAGGAGGGATAAAAAATCTAGAATTCAGAACAACCTGTTTGAGGAAAACAGACTTTATTTTAAAAGATATTGATGGCAGTGTTTGACTGGGAGGCTGAGCACTCTTGAAGACAAGGGCTAAAGGTAATTCAACTGCACAACCTTGTAGAACCTCAGGACCCTTGGACCCCCAAAGTCAACACAGGCCATCCTCAAAGGGCCCGGCATCAGGAAGTCAAACCTAACTGACCATCGGCCAACCTCCCTTCAAACTCATCAGGCTCACTTCCCTTCGGCAGAACAATGTAGTTGTGTGCGGAACGATGTAGCCTGGTGGATATTAATTGCATAGGGAACGTGATGAGTGAAAATATATAATTTTAGGGTGAGTTAAATTAACAAAAGTAAAATTACTAAAATAAAAAAATCGTACAGTTATACCATATTTGGCTTGCTACAATACACTTTTTAAAATCATATTCAGAATACGAACTAACCACATTAACTGCAGTTTAGAAAGATGGCTCAAATTGAAATTTACAACTTAAATGGTTTAATTTATTTAGACATTAACTGTTTCCAGTAGTAGTCTCCTCTAATATATTACGTGGTTTAAAATCCTTTCATGGTGTAACTGGTGTTTGAATCTTACAGGTAAATAAATGTAAAAACTCCAAAAAGAACAATTGGAAATAAATTATCAAAGATTTAATGATAAATGAATTATGAATAAATGAACGCCAAAAGGAGTTTGGTTTAGTTATAACTATTTAATTTTAGAAGAATGAGATTATAGAGTCACAAAAAAAATTTATATTTCATACATTTCCCCCATACGATTGTATGGTTTCTGATATAACCATAAAAGTCATAATTGTGGCAATGATCGGTGGTAAATTTAAATGGAATAGTGTAAGCTGATAATCCGATTAATCCAAATTGATTACGATAGGAGGATATTTATATTAGTAATACTATAATACACGCTCAAATTCCAGGTTTTCCTCCTTAATTAAGAGTACCCATTAAGTCGATCTACGGCGATGAAAAATTACAAGTCATCAGCCGGATTCGAACCTGGGATCTTAAGCTCTCGAAGTCAGTACTCACCGACTGAGCTACCACGCTCCCTGAGTTACACGTGATAAAACTATTAAATATAGTTAATATATATATATATATATATATATATATATATATATATATATATATATATATATATAATGTATTAATTTTTTTTATATAAATGCAAGTTCAGAAATTACTACATAGTCGGAATTAGGGGTATCGGCCAGGACATATTTTTAATTACTATTTATTTCTAAGATGAGGATAAATATTACAAATAAAAGAATACATATTTCAGAAACATTAATATCAATGATTGCAGCGCCTTCTATTCTATACTATACTGTTTCTCAATACAGTGCAGTTATGCGGTTTAGCATGGCTTACTTGGTGGGGTATCTTAGGATTGGTTGTAGATTTAATGGAAGTCAAATCATCTTTTACAGCCCAATTCTTTGACAAAAGGCGGTGTAAACGCATGTCCCCATACACATGTTGTAATATAAAACTATAAATTATACAGGATGCGCTATAAGTTAAGGAAAATATTTAAAGGGATGATAGTAGATCTCAAGAACTATAATGCTATTTTGTATAAGCCATGGTTCGATTTCCATCAGAAAAGGAATAATTTTAAGTTATGCTTAAAAAAAAAAAAATATAATAATAAATTACGTTTTTTGTTTAAAAGGAAATAGTTACTATATATATATTTTTAATTATTGGAGATTTTACTATTATCACGCTCTAACTAGACAGATGGCTTACTCCACATTTGTAAAAGTCTATATTAAGTTAAGTTGTGGTTTCTTACCAAATGAGGTGAGATACATAGTATAGATGTTTACAAATGTAGAGTAAACATCTATACAAAATCTATAAAAAATCGTATGATCCAAGATTTTATGAAAAAAAATAAAATTAAAAGGCAAATTTTAATGGTTTTAACAAACACAAACTCTACTTGAACTTGATGGAACGTTTTTCTAATTGACTATGAAGTCATTACTTAAATTAAATATATTTTCGTTGGGTCTGTGAGGCGTATGTTGTATTTTTTATTTTGCTGTAATTGCTGTCTCATATGCAATGTTAAAATGTTAGAACTACAAGGTATGTTGTGGGTCGATGTAATATAGAGTAATGGAGCGAGTGACGAACCTTGGCGTACATCTGCTGTCATGTATTCTATCATTAATCTTAAATTTCACTAGTTGTCAATTTGTTTTGGTGAGAATAAGATTATTGGATAAAAAGGATATATATGTATACATATATATGTGTATAAATATATATACATATATATATATATATATATATATATATATATATATATATATATATATATATATATATATATATATATTAAGTATCACGTTTCTGTTGGGTAGAAAACGATAACTTAAAAAAAAAAAAGATGTATATATTTGTATACATATATATATATATATATATATATATATATATATATATATATATATATATATATATATATATATATATATATAAATATATAAATCTCCTTCACCTCCTCTGTAAAAAACTTAGGAATTACCATTGATCAAAACCTATCATGGAAACCCCATATTGCTCAAATCTCCAGAAGGTCTATTGGTACTCTTAAATTATTTCATCGTTCTCGTCAGCATCTCCCACAACCTATCCGCAGGCTTCTCGTTTCCTCATTGATTTTCCCCTACTTTGACTATGGCTGTGTGGTATACGGTGGCCTCTCGTTGGAGCTTGAGGACAGACTGAAGAGAATCATGAACTGTTTTTTAAGATTCGTCTTCGGCACTTCGAGATGGTCTCATGTGTCCCACCTATATGCCGAGTCAAAGTGGCTCTTCCCATCTTCCCGCCGCCTATACTTCCTTGGAAATTTCTTATACCAAACGATCAACTCCCAGCACCCTTCCTATATCTGTTGTCTCCTCCAGCCTAAACCCTTAGTCCACTCAATAAAAACGAGATCCCGTGTTTCTGACCTCTATATTCCATTCCACAGGACAAAAACCTATGAACGTTCCTTCTTAGCCCGCTCCGTCTCCTATTGGAATTCTTTGCCACATAACATCCGTCATGCCTCTTCCCTGTCAACTTTCAAATACCTCCTTTTCCAATATCTCCTTACATCCCAAACAGAAGATTTACCACCATAAATTTCATTTTATGAACTGAATTTGCGTGAAGTAAATAGTGGTGGCTACTGTTTAAGTTTTAGCATAAAACAGCAATGATCTTTGTCACCCAGTTTGACTATTATTTTTACTATTTATTTATTTTTCTCTTCTCCTCAGGTGGTGCTTTTTTTTTCGGGTATATATGTTCATATTTTATATCTTTGTCTTTATGTGTGCCAATATGAGAATGTACGTATAAATAGTTCCTTTTAGTTATTTTATTAATTTTTTTTTTCCGTTACACCACAAGTATCGTAAGACTTTATTTTATCTTAGTGTTTGCATATTATTATATAAACCACTGTAGATATTATTTCATTTTGTATTAAGTTAGTTTTCAATTAGATAGCCTATTGTTTATAAATTGTGTTATGTATATATAAATATGTAGTTTCTCTTCTTTTTTTCATCACAATTAAGTAATTTTGAGAAGATTTTATGTTCATTTGTATATATATTTTATTTTTTATGTTTTACTGGTTAAATACTTTTTAAATAATGTATATAATATCAAAATTTTTAGAAGTTAGTTTTTGGCCAGATTTGTACTTTACTTTGTATTAACTCATCATTGTTATTCTAAAGGGACTTAGTCCCAGAATAAAGTTTAATTTTCTATTCTATTCTATTTTATGTATATATATATATATATATATATATATATATATATATATATATATGTATACAAATATATACATCTATTTTTTTATCGTTTTATATCTATTAAATTATCGTTTTCTACCCAACAGAAACGTGATACTTAAAGAAACACAACACTTAAAATTATTGCATTTCGACAAAAAAATCGAAACATATTTATAAATACTTTTTGCAGCTCTTAAGGCTTAATGTAATACCTTTAAATGTTTCCTTATACTCAGTATCCAGTATAATTTATAATTTTATATTACAAGATGTAGTAGGATTCATACACCGTCTGTTGTCAATTATTAGTTTATACATGATGTCCTATGAGTAGAGAAAAAAAATGAGGGCTTGAAAAATCAACTCCTACATGAAAAATCATAATTTTTAAATTTTTTACTTTTATTTATAAAATGTGTTTTTAGGCAATTATATTTATTGAAATACATCCCATGACACGGCAAAACAATAAATAAAAGTTTGAAATAATTAATTGTAGTCATACTTACAGAAAACAAGGTTACTTTTAAGAGACTGGATAGAAATTTCTTACATAACTTGAAGAGAATCTCAAAATATTTCCTACTGAACCTCAACTTAATTGATAAGAACTTAAAGCTTATTAAACGAGGAAGTTTTTCTAAAAGTGGAATGAATGTAGTACAGTTGAAAGGTGATAAACAGAAATCACAAATAATTTGTGACTTTTTGTTAAACGGAATTTAGCTTTGTTTATCCGTTCAATAATCCTCTATAAATAGTTTTAACAATGACAAACTCTACTTTCGTTAAAAGGGAATTTTGTCAAGTTTACTATGGAGCAGTGTTTAATTACTTAAACCAAATATATTTTAGTTATCACTTTCTATTGAACAAAAAACGTGACTGAAAAAACACAAATCTTAAATTTCCTTCTTTTCTGCTGAAAATCGGGCAATTGTTTATATGATTTTTTTTATGTAGATCTTGATGTCTCCTTTCAACCTTTCAAATATTTCCTTCGATATACGGGACACCATATATATATATATATATATATATATATATATATATATATATATATATATATATATATATATATATATACATATATATATACATATATATAAATATATATAGAAGGAAATATTTGAAAGGTTGAAAGGAGACATCAAGATCTACAAAAAAAAAAAAAAAAATCATATAAACAATTGCCCGATTTTCAGCAGAAAAGAAGGAAATTTAAGATTTGTGATTTTCAGTCACGTTTTTTGACTATATATATATATATATGTCGATTTTTCATAATGCTGACAATGAGAGTAGGTTTATTATTTAAATAAACTAAATTAAAGGTATTTAAGAAGTAGCAATTTAAAAAAATATATCTTTAATTTTACATTGATAAAACAAGTATAATCCAAATCGTTTTCGAGAAAATAGAAAAAAGTTTAAGAAAAAAAATACTAACATAC